GCGGATTGCGTGGACTCTCCGGGTGCGATATCAGATCGGATCACGAAGTTGCTGGCTGCAGGCGGTCTGGCAACGGACGTTTTCGGATAACGTTCGACATCTATAGCCATTGCGGTGTCATACTGTTCAGGATCGCCGAGTGTAAGAAAGCCCTTGAACGAGTGCACAGGCCGCGTGGTCTTCAGTCTAGGGATCCCCAACTGGTCTATTGCTTCTGCAAGTGTAGCGCATGTGCCGTTGCTTTCGTCGGCCAGTTTCCGGAAAGCGACTTCATTGTCGGCCTGTAGGCTTTCAGCTACCATGTTACTAGGAGGGAGGTTTCGATGCTCACCTTGACGCTGTCCTTGTCCTCCTCCTTGAACCCGTAATCCGCATCATCAAAATCAACGCCACTACAGAAACGATCAGTTTAAGACGCCCCAAAGTACAGAGTCCATGGTACCTACAGGATGATGAGCTCGATGTTGTCTTCTTTGATCTTGCTAGCGATATTGTCCAGATCTTCCGCATCCATCGGCGCATTGGCGTTCGTTACGAGAATGATCTTGCGGATGTACTGCAATTTCTTGCAATGAGCGGATATCATCTGTATCGCAATCACGAGGGCTGATATGGCTGTTGTACTATGTCAGTGGACTTCCAGAACGGTGCCTTGAACTTCATACCATCTCCCGCATCGGTGTTGCTTGGTTGTATTTGTTGCCGTAAGCGACGAAGGTCTGGCATTAGCACTCTACATCACACCAATTAGTACCTTATATGATTAAATACTGTATTTTAACTTACTGGCCAAGTGGTTGGAAGACGGTGATATTCTGATACGGCTCCTCGCTGTCCAGCTCGTTTTCGGTACCTAACCATGTCAGATGCATTCGAGGATCGGCACCACTACCGCAAATCAGCAGGACCATGAAGAGAAGAATACAAGGGTTAACAGATTGGCGTGTTACCTACCATCTGTGCGCAGGCCGACAACTCCTACATGCGCTGTCTTGCGGTCAAGAGCTACCTAATAAAACGTCACTTAGAGTCCAATTTACCTGCAAAAAACATAATGGACGCTTACGGTTGATGTGATCTTGTCCCATATATACTCCATGGCCCACTCCAGATCTGTCGTCTCACGGCCATGGTTGCGCTTGCCCATAGATGAGCCAACATCTACAATGTAGACGGTAGCTTCTTTGCTTGCCATATTGTATTTCGAACTTGCGCGTCGCTAATCAGAGTGCTAGTCACATGCTCGAGAGACTTTGGCTTTAAGTTATAGGTGAAAAGAAGGGCAAAGAAGCGATGTGGTGTATTTGTCGTTTGTTCACGCAATTGCTGCCTTGTTCGCGAAGTTGACGCGCCGACGCGTCGTTTGAAGTGCTTCACGGGCATCGAACCTTTCCATTGCAGGGTTGATACCCCGGCTCCAACATATTTTATTTTTCTATGGAGATATGATCCATTTCATGCAACTACATACGTGAGAATTTTCCTTACAGTCCTCGCCTGTGTTGGCAATGTCAATGTATAGCGCCAGCGACCACTGAAACGGCAATGGTACCCGTAGACGTCATTATCGGGAGAGGTCAGCAGCTCGGAGCGCACCATTGTTCCATTGCTCGCTCTCTTACGCCGAACTACAATCCTATTCTATTATTGGATCAAGATCTGGGACATTCGAACGTCCAGGCTATTACTTGCTTATAACACCCTTGCGTCTGCTATCCTCTCTTTGACCGCAATCAACCATGACTTTCCTCTCCGCAATCAGCGATTATAAAGCCTACCACATCCTCAGCTATGGCAGTCTTCTCGGATCCACGCTCTTCCAGTCCTTCATCGGCGGTGTGATTGCATTCAAAACGCTCCCGAGACCCATGTTCTCCCGTCTTCAAGCAGCGGTGTTCCCAGTCTTTTTCTCTGTGCAGACCATCCTACCTCTGATTATGATAGCAACATATCCGGGAGAAAAGATTGCAGGTATCGGTGGGGAGTATATCAGGGAAAACACGGGCTTCGGGGGTGTCATGGCAGAGGGCAATAGGTGGTCAGTACTGGTACCGCTGGCGTCTATGGTGATCACGTCCGCGCTCAATGCCTTTGTTGTCGGTCCTGCCACCACGAAAACCATGAAGGATAGACATCACCAAGGTATGATATGAGTGAGATTTACAGTAGAGTATGCGATTGCTGACCTCCTCGCAGAAACACGCGATGGCAAGAAATCGTATGATGCTGGCCCACACTCCGACGAGATGCAGAAGCTCAATAAGCAGTTTGGCACTTTGCACGGCGTTTCGACACTGCTGAACTTTGCTGGGTTCGGCGCCATGATCTACTATGGCTTCGTTCTTGCGGACAGAATCTAATGGGAGTGCTCTGTATATATTTGCATCTGAGAGCGGTCATTCTGTCCACTGTAGGGGCCCAGCTCTTGAAGGCCGGTTTGCTGTTGCTTTTCGCTCACGAATCATGAGGTGCAGGTGGCTTCCATGCTTTTCCCATTCGTGAAAATGCAGTCAAGAATGTGATGCTCCTCTCGCTGCCCATACTTGACTGCATCATGCTTCGTTCTGCGAGGAATGTCTATACCAAGTGATTCGAGCTGCTCAGAAGCTCTCCGTCCATGCTCTTTCAATTGCCGACCATTTCTTCCCAAAGCCCAACTCATACAGTCGATGCGAACTTGCAAATGCTCCAACTTATGATTATCACTGTCAAGAGACTGAACAAAGGTCCGAAAGTGTACAGATCTATGTCATTCACGTCTGGAGCAGAAATACACCGAGGCATCAACAACCCCCAGCCCAAGCATCTGTGCACAGCTGCCCATCGGCGTCTGGGAGCGGTCATCCAGAGGCGGAGACCAATTCTCCACCAATTGGAGTTTAGAAACGCCGACTCAACGGCGTCCATACGGTGTGTCGGCCCCAGAAAGTTGCCCCACGGAGGGGCTAAAGCCGTGGATCGGTCGTGGTAAACGGATTTAATCCATGCCTGGGGGTTGAGGTACAAAGACGATGACGACCCCACTGTTTTGGGGGGTTGCAATTGATCCTCCTTTCTCCTCTTTCCTCTTCTCCCACGACTTAATACCTTATTATAGACGTTCTTGCGGTTTCTACTCCTCCAAAAAGAGCTGTGAATTGAGAAGCCGAGCGTAATTGAAACATACCCGATTGAATCGTCGAATTGTGCAAACATGGTTAAGATCACTCACGCGACTACGAGGGATGTCAGGTTCCCGGTATGTGTGACTCCCAGTATAGTACTAGAGCACTCAATTGACTCAACTTGCAGACCTCTCTCGACAAGACCGGCTCCGATGCCATGAACGCCGCCGGAGACTACTCCTCCGCATACTGTATCCTTGAAACGGATGGTGAGCACTCCGGTCACGGCATGGTAAGCAATGTCCCTCCTTGTCACATCACTTGCTCATCGGGCTTCCAATTGACACTTCCCAGACCTTCACTATCGGCCGCGGCAACGAGATCGTCTGCCAAGCCATCACTCTCCTTGCCGCTCGCATCGAGGGCAAGACCCTGGAAGAGCTCGTCGGCAACTGGGGCCGCACATGGCGTTACCTCGTCTCGGACTCGCAATTACGGTGGATCGGGCCCGAAAAGGGCGTCATCCACCTTGCGCTGGGTGCCGTCGTCAACGCCATCTGGGATCTCTGGGCCAAAGTCCTCGACAAGCCAGTATGGCGGATCGTGGCGGAGATGACGCCGGAGGAGTTCGTGTCCTGCATCGATTTCAGGTACATCACCGATGCGATTACGCCTGAGGAGGCGGTGCAGATGCTGAAGAGTGAGGAGGGTGGCAAGGCGCAGAGGATCAAGGATGCGGAGAACAACCGTGCTGTGCCTGCTTACACGACCAGTGCGGGCTGGCTGGGCTATGGCAAGGATAAGATGAAGGGACTCTTGCAGGAGACGCTTAGTAAGGGGTACAAGCACTTCAAGCTGAAGGTCGGCACCAGCGTGCAGGAGGATAGGGAGAGGTTGACGATTGCGAGAGAGGTCATTGGATATGACAAGGGTAACATTCTGATGGTGGACGCCAACCAGGTGAGTCAAGAACCCAACCCCCGCACCTACCTGGAAGATGCATGCATTCAGAGAACACGTACTGACCGTGACATTCCCAGGTCTGGTCCGTGCCAGAAGCGATCGAATACATGAAGCAGCTCGCCGAATTCAAGCCTTGGTTCATCGAAGAGCCGACCTCCCCCGACGACGTCTACGGGCACAAGACGATCCGCGAAGCCCTCAAGCCCTACAACATCGGCGTCGCGACGGGCGAGATGTGCCAGAACCGGGTCATCTTCAAGCAGCTGATCGCGCAGGGCGCCATCGACGTGTGCCAGATCGACGCCTGCCGCATGGGCGGCGTCAACGAGGTGTTGGCGGTGCTGCTGATCGCGAAGAAGTTCAACGTGCCCATCGTGCCGCACTCGGGCGGTGTGGGGCTGCCGGAGTACACGCAGCATCTCAGCACTATCGACTATGTGTGCGTTAGCGGCAAGCTGAGCGTGTTGGAGTATGTGGATCATTTGCACGAGCACTTCTACCACCCGAGTGTGATCAAGGATGGTTACTACACCACGCCAACAGAGCCTGGGTACAGTGTCGAGATGAAGCCGGAGAGTATGGATCGGTTTGAGTATCCGGGTAAGGAGGGCGTTAGCTGGTGGAAGAGTGAGGAGGCGAGACCTATCCTTGAGGGCGAGAGGATATAATAGAGGCTGGCTGAGATGGACTTGGTTTATATTTAGATATCCGCATAAAAACCTAGATGCATTTGCTTGTGAATTATGGCTCCAATCCAGTATCATTAATCCCGATTTCGTGAAAAAGATGTGGAGGGGAAAGAAGACGAACAAAGTCCGATGGGTGATCGCGCATCCATCTATCGAGAAAGCTTCAACCCTCCTGGTGCTAAGCGATTTTGCTCCTTCCGCAGATGAGCTTCATTTACAGTTTAACCCAGCCTATTTAACAAGAAGCCCATTGGCGCAATGGTAGCGCGTTCGCCTCCTATCTAGGATCTAGCGAAAGGCTGTGGGTTCGAGTCCCATGTGGGTTGGAATCCCAAGCTTCTTCTTTTGCTGTTCTAAGCACATATAACGGTATCGTGCGTGAACAAGCGGCAGCTTTCTTTTTGCTGCGGAATCGGCTGTCGGTGGGCTTGGCGCGGTTGGAAGCCGGGAAGCTGGGAAGCCGAGCCGACGGGAGCGTCGAGCCTGGCTATCGATTAAGGTAAGAGTCCTTATGGCGCAGCTATACATAGGTACTTGATTCACTACGGGCATAGGCTACGTGGATCTTGTTGTTGTCTTGCGAGAAGCCAGACTGATCCATATTTACGCAGACTCTGTAATGGGGACCTGTAGCATTTGCGCAGCCTGAATTCACTTCTAGCAAGAAAAGCTACTGCGTCTCGCTACCATGCTACCACCCCCCCCCAGCACTGGGCTCCAAACCCGCACTTCACCACTACCCGAAAGGGGTAGGTAGACGGACACCAGGCCCCTAACCACCCAACCCCCTCGCCTCAATCTCACTAAAGAACACGACCATCCTCCAAACCTTCTTCGTCAGGGCCTCGGCCTCCTCATCAAGCGTGACCTCCAACTCGCGCATAATCTCCTCGGGGCGACCATGTCTCCTAACCACGCCCTCGACCAGCTCGACCAGCATATCCTCCTGCACGCCCAAGCTCTCCATGATCTTCTTCTGGATGAACGGCCGCAGCTGCTCCGTGACAGCGGCCTCGGGCAGGCTGTCCCATTTCACTGGCCACTCGAACAGCTCGCGCGTCGTGGCCGGGATGGATGCGGCGATGGCGCGCGTGGCTTCGCGCCGCTCGGCGTCGGTCATTTTCTCGCCTGCCGCGAGCGGCTGGAACGAGACGGGGCGCAGGGGCCGACTGGTCTCGTCCGCGGCCTCCTCGTTGTCGAGGATGTTCTCGACGTCCACCATGGTCTGGCGCCCGCCGGTCTTGCGCGTCTCTGCCTCGTCGTCTTCGTCCGTCTTGGCCGCGGCGCCGAAGCCGAGGTTGAGGGTGAAGTTGGTCGCGGCGGGTCTGGGGGCGTGGCGGGCTTCGATTTCGGCTGCCTGCTCGGCCAGGAACTCGTCGGCCAGGCCCTGCGCCTTGTCCAGCTGTGCGCGCTGGGCGGCCTGCTCCTTGGCCTCGTCCCGGCGGTCGCGGTCGTCGCGTCTCTTCTCGTCGGCGCGGAAAGCGCGGCGTTCGCGCACCCAGGCTTTGCGGTCTTTGTAGTAGCCGTCCTTGGCGCTGCGCATCTCGACCTCGTCATCGTATTCCTTGAGGCGTTGGAGCGCGGCGTCCTTGCGGCGCTGGGTGGCGGCGGAGCGGCGGGACTCGTCTTCGCGTTGGCGCTGGACGGCGGTCGCGTGCATGCGTTCGCGGTTGAACCAGCGGCGTTCTTGGTCCAGGTAGGCCTTCTCTTTGTCGGCGTCTTTGGCTGCGCGACGGCGGCGCTCCAGCTCGGAGTCGGAGGCGTCATCATCACCGTCTAGGTCGGTGCCGTTGATCTGCGCGAGTACACGCTCCATCTCTGCGTCGCGGGGAAGCTGGACGCCGCGGTAGCCCTTGGGACCGGATGGAGCATTAGGCACGCCGCGAGTTCCATTCACAGCACCTGGACCAGAAGGTGCGGAGACTGGTGGGGAGGCGAGACGGCTGGGACGCATGTTACTGCGCGCGCGTTCTGCAGCTTCGAGCTCGTCTTCCTTGCGCAGACGCTCCAGATCACGGCGATTGCTGCGGTCACGGAAAGCGGCGATTTCGGCGGCCACAGTCTCGCGGAGTTCGGCTGGGATATCTGCCAATTCATCTTCGGCTTGGCCAACGGGGATGGTGATGAGCTCAGCAGCATCACCGTTTGCTCCTTCCATTGTTGCATCGCCGTCACCGTCCACAGCAGCGGTGCCGTTGGTGTTGGCTTCCTCGGAGGCGAGACGGGCAAGCAGGCTTGAGAGATCCTCGCGAGCGGCGTCCAGGCGGAATTGAAATTGATCGCGATCCTTGTTCCACTGAGCGGCGTATTTGCGCGATTCATCATCCATGACAACCATCAGACTAGCCTTCTTCGCATTGCCCTCTTCATCCTTGATCAGCTGTCCCTTCTCCCTAAGCGGTACCTCCACATCCTTGAGAATCTCACTCGCAACCTCTAGCGACAAGGCATCCTCGAACTCGGCAAACCCAAAGCGGCAATCCTTTCCATCCGCATCTGTAGCCCTAGTCCAGCGTCGCAATCCACCACCTACACCGATCAAATCCTCCATCTGCTCATCTTGCGGCATGCCGTCTACCAGTCCAGCAATAAATATCGTTCGTGACACTTCCTCCTTGGTCGGCGGAACCAGCGACATCATGTCGTTCCGCACTTGTTGACGCTGGTAATCCATGTTCCTCGAATCCGCACCCAGGCCCGCGCGACCTCTTGGTCCACTTGGCTGATCTCTGCCACGGCCCCTGCTGTCGTCATAACCACCATATGGCGTTGCTGGCTTCGCACTACCATCGACACCGAGCCGTATCACCGGCGCATTGAAGTTGATGTTGGGGAGATTTGGAGGCGGTTGGAAGGCGGCGGGGACGGAGCCTGGTCGGCCGGGTAGTGGAGTAGTCGAGGCCGCCATACCAGGTGGTGAACCTGCTGTTGGTGCTGCGAGACCTGGTGCGCCGGCTAGATTTTGTTAGTGAGGTTGCGCTTGAATGAAGGGAAATTCTAGGCTTACCCATTCCTGGCGGTGCGCCCATGGATGGTGCGCCTGGGAAGTTAGCATAACTTGGGGCGCGGCCGAACGAGGCAGGGGCTGTTACTGGTATTAGTGACTGGCTGGAAGGATGTAGGTCCATGGAGGAGTAACTCACGAGGGTAATTGTAGGCCATGGCGGCGCTGCCTTTCGAAGGCTTGCTTGCTGGCTGTTGGGGTTTTCGGTAGCTGCAGCGCAGACACTGAACTAGACTACAACGACCAGGTAAATAAGTACTACCAGAGAGCAAGAGCCAAAGCAGTTGTACAGTCGCAGACGCTAAGCCGAAATGCACAATAAGAATAGCGAACTTGAAGCTTCTACATGCGAACGCGCGAGGTGAAGCCCTGCGCGGGACCCCGTTGGTCTTGGCACCTCCGCCCGAAAAGTCGAAGTCGACCACAGCAGCCGCAAGCACCACCCTCCTCCCAGCAGTTGCATTGACCTGCATCTGACCCAACACCACCACACAATGGATCTCTGCTGGCGGGCAGGGGAGTCGCTCCTGCGGCGACAACCCGCCATGCTCAGTACCACATTCCGCGGCCCAGCGCTATCACGATCCTCCATCATCACGACCAGCTCACGCCGCTGCCTCTCATCCACACCCGCTCGCTCCGCCGAGAACGACAGCAAGAGCAACACCAATGCCTCCATCACCCCAAGCGACCCCTCCTCCACTACACCCCCCACCACCACCTCCGGCACCAGCAAAACCCTCCCCCCCTCCAGCCCCCTGACCGCCTTCCTCGACAGCGCCTTAAACGTCAGCCCCAAGGGCGTGCCCTCCGCCTCCACGCAACGAACCTCACGCTTCAAATCGCCCGTGGCCCAAGCCGCGAACCGCCCCTCGACCTCCTCCTCCTCGATCGAAGACTTCTGGAACGAGATGAAAGGCTCCACCGCCCCCTCCAGCAACCCACGCGGCCCCCGCACGCCCGCCACGGGCAAGGGCAAAGAAACCACGAGCATGGACATCCTGGGCATGCTCGACGTGCAGGGCATCACGACCCCCAGCAGCCGCGGCCGGTTCAGCACCCCACCTCCCACGCCCTCCGGGCCGCCGATGAAACTGGGTCCCAGCGTCGGGCGCACGGTCGCGGTCGACGCGAACAAAGGCGTAGACGTGGGTCGGGCGTTCCGGGCTTTGGATATTTCGGTGGCGAGGAATAGGGTGCGGAGTGATTTCCAGAGGCAGAGGTTTCATGAGAGGGGGGGGCTGAGGCGGAAGAGACTTAAGAGTGAGAGGTGGAGACGGAGGTTTAAGGAGGGGTTTAGGGGGATGGTTAAGATGGTTGCTAAGATGAGGAAGCAGGGGTGGTAGATGCCCTGGGTTTTGGAGATGCGTGGGGGAAGGGTGGCCGCTATGGACGGAGATGGAAGGAGCTACGGAGGAAGATGGAAGGGGCGATGGAATCTCTTCCTTGTATTATACTTGAGCTGTATTGTGTATGCATATATGCATGAGCGAGCGGCCGTGAAGAGGGTAAAAAGATTGCAAAGAACGGCGTTTTTGTTCGAAAAAAACCGGACTTAAGGCATACCACATAGACCAGCATGGGCAAGTACGGCCAGAAGTAGAAATTGTACGACTTTGTTTGGAAATTGGTAGCCCCGATGGCCCAGATATCAAGTTTCAGCATTCAAAAGATTCGGGTATCAACACATGCATCCTTCCATCGCTGCCACCTCAATCGCACGAAAAGAGAGAGACCGCCTTTCCATATTCCCCACTCCCCCATCCGCCCACTCCAGACGCCAAAACCGAAACCAACAAAAGAACCACGTTGATCTAGAACTTGCCCTCAAACTCCTCCCACCCCTCCCCCTCTCCCTCCCCGAACCCCTCATCCTCAAGATCATCCCTCCCAAGGTGCATTGTCCCTCCCGCATCCAGCCCGCCCCGGCCATCCTCAACCTCAACCCTCGTCCCCAACGCCGCCTGCCCCTGCTGAATCAACAACTGCACCTGCCGACTCATCTTCCGCATACTCCTCTCCTGCTCCCTCTCGCGCTTCTCCTTGCGATCCAGAAACCTCTGCGCTTCCGGGCTCAGGGGCGCCGAACCCGAACCCGGGCTCCCTGTCGCCCCCGCAGGCACAACCCCACCAAAACTCTGCCTCGAGGGGTTACCGAGCGAGAGGGTGTGATTGAGGTTGGGAATCGACTTCCGCGCCCGCAGGCCCGGACTCCGCGTATGCGCGACCGAGGCCCTGCGCTCGCCATCGCGCCCTCCACCACCTCCAGCACCATACCCAACCCCAAACCCAGCCGCACCACCGTACCCCGCACCCGCCGCC